CCGCATCCCGCGGGCACCGCATCCCGCGGGCACCGCATCCCGCGGGCTCACGCACGGACAGCCCAGGTGTAACAAAGCGCCGATGTGCCCCGCACCGCAGCGACGCGCCGCCCCGCGCCGCCCTCGCCCCACCGCAGCCCGGCAGAGCGCCCCCCGTCGCGCCCCCCCACCTGCTTGCGTGGTGTCGCTCAGGTCGTAGCCGCTGCCCGGGAAGTCGCGCAGCTTCCTGCCGCTGAGGCAGAGGATGCCCGAGCTGCCCGCCTCCTCCAGGGCCCGGTCCAAGCTGCGCACCGTGTGAGGCTGCGGAAGGGTGGCCGCCCCCCAGTGCGGTCCGGCCGAGAAGGAGAGAGTGAGATGAGCGGGGATCCCCAGCCCCCCCGTCCCGTTGTTATTGCCGCCGCCGCTGCTGCCGCCGTTGCCGCCGTTGCCGCCGCCGTTGCCGCCGCCGTTGCCGCCGCCGCCGCCGCCCCCCTGCCCGGCCGCCATCTTCGCGCGGCGCAGCCCAGCCCCACAATAACAACAGCGGGGCCGCCCGCCGCCGCCGCCGTCACTGCGCATGCGCCGCCGGGCCTGCAGGGGGAACAGGAGGGAGAGCGGAGACGGAGGAGGGGGCGTGGCTTCTCCGAGCTGCTCGGCCGCCCTCACCAATCAGAAGCGGGGAGGGGCGTGGCTTCGTGCCTTCCTTCGGCCGTTCTGACCAATCGGCGGCGAGGTGAGGGGGCGTGGCTCCCCGGGGCGCTGCCCGGTCGATGCTGATGGGAACCGGGCTGCGGTGGACCCCGCTGCCTTAATGAGATGCTAGAGGAAGAGTAATTATCTCTATTACCGTGTAATCTGCACTTCTTAGGTGCTGCATATTTATCTGCCAGAAATACCTCTAGAGCCATCATGAAGAAACAGTAAAAGAAAGGCTCCTAGACCCACGTTTTAATGCGATAGGCAGAATCTGCTTTTATGCTTTGATTCTCCTAAAGGTGTTTAAAAGGATAGTTGTATATACGTATATATATGTGTGTGTGTGTATATGCATATATCTGTGCATATATGTATTTATATATATATAAATATATTTTTTCATGTGTACATGCATGAAATCATCAATCAATCAAGCCAATCATCATGACTGATTTGGTGATCAAAGGGAAATTGCCCCTACAGGCAGTATGGAAGAGAGCAGTGCTGTGTCAACAAGAGACTGCTGAGCTGTTAGCAGTGAAATAAACAGCTTTATGGGCACTCTCTGACCCACACTCCATAGAACTGCATTAGCTGGGATCAGTACGGCAGCACTGAAGAGTGAAGGGCTTAATCCCTTGGTGCTGCAGTGTATGGGCTTTGGGATGTCTGTGTCACTGCAAACAGATTGGCTTTCCTGCCAGAGCACGCTGCCAAATGTGGAGGGGGAAGGGCTCCCATTGTCACCTGCAAATATTGTGGCTGTCTGCTTCGTTTTGCATCAGCTGTGGGTGCCACTGTGGGATTCGTGCTCACAAATCTACCCGTTGGTCTGCCTGGAGCACAGTTCTGCCCTGGGAAAGCAAATCATCCCCTGGATTTACAGCAGGACAAGTCACACACAGCTGCAGGAACAGTGCTGCTGCTGCCTGCCGACGGGTTTCCAAGCAGGGAGGTGGAGGTGGATGGAGGTCCCAGGCACTGCTGGGTTGTGCATGTGGTTGCACATTCCTCAGGTATAGATTTGTGCAGGCTGACCCATAGGGGCCTCCCTCCTGCCCCTGCTGCCCCCTCTTACATTATGAACCAGCAATAAGCAAAACCACGAGTCATGAGTTCAGTGGCTCCCCAGACCTCCATGCCATAATGATCAGCAAGCCACAGCTGTGGTATCCCTTGGTTTCTTCTGCAGAACAGAGTGTGTTCTTGTTGAACATGGCAGCAAAAAGGAATACAGGAAGATGTGGAAACGCTCAGATGTTGCAGTGTGACTGCACAAGACAAACTATTTTTGTGCTGCCACACCACAGACAGAGGCTGTGTGTACAGAGACTGACAACAACCAAAAATCCCCCGCTCCCATGAGCAGCTTCCACTTTGAAAGTCTTTGTGGTTACCCACATCCTCTCTAGATAAAAACCCATAAAGAGATGACATCAACAAACATTAAGAGGCAGTGTTAGTGCCCTAGGGGGATGAGATCTAGAAAAGGCTTTGATCTGCCCAGCTTTCAACATGGATTGCAAGCTGTGGTTGCTCACAAGACTCACAGTGCTGTTGCTCTGCGTATGGTGAGGCCAAGCCTTGTACCTCTGGAAGTGTCCTTCATCATCCTGCAGGCTGTGTCAGGTCCCAGGTCAGATCCATGGCCTGGGCAAGTGATAACAATAGCAACAGGAATCCTCCTAAGATGTCAGCACTGACTTTTCTTTCCAGCCTTTAGAGAATTTCTTTCTTGAAGCAATCAAATGCCAAAGCTTTCATAATGTTTTTGCTGTGTTTCATTACGAGGTGCCTCAGTCCTCTGACATGTGTGAGGCACAGAGATAACACATGTGTGGTTATTTCAGCACTCACATGATCCTTCTGCCATCTTCTTGTCTGCTCTTCAATTTCTTCTGTCTTTGCACATCACTGGATGGCCTCTTCCTGATTGATATTGCTCTTCCTCTTCAAGACCTGCGAACGTCCACAGCCTTACACAAAGAGATCAAATAATTCCCAAATAACCAGATTCCAGAATAAAATGGTATAATTTGGTCCACTGTGAAAGCAAAGCAAACAAATCAAATAGGCAAGTACCACACTGGGAGTGCTAAAGGGCAGTGATGTATCTGAAACATCATTTTGAAAGAGTTAGATATAACCCAAAATACTCCAGCATCTGATGATCCAATAGAAAAGAAGCAAGCAGGATTCCATCTGCCTGCTTTGGTGAGCAACAGATATTCTTAAATCTTTTATCTTTTGTATAGACCACAGTAAAACAGCAGATCCATTAATGAGAAGACTCCCAGTACTCTTTCCATAGGGAGCATCTGATTATTTTTGTACAGCTAGCAATGCTTCATTGAGCACCAGCGAATGCATTCCTGAAGGCAGGGGGGAGGGAGGGCAGCTCTTACCTCAAAGATAGCATTCTAAGTACCTCCTATTCCTATTTCATGGTGCTGCAGAGGCCTTTATCCTCAGCTGATCATTCTAGTGTGATTTTTAACAGGGTTTCACTCTCCTCTCCTCTCCTCTCCTCTCCTCTCCTCTCCTCTCCTCTCCTCTCCTCTCCTCTCCTCTCCTCTCCTCTCCTCTCCTCTCCTCTCCTCTCCTCTCCTCTCCTCTTCCTTTTTAATTTTGAATAATGCATTTGCCATGCAGCAACATGCTTTCCTTGTTTGTTTCTTGGAAAAATTCAAAACGTATCCTTTTCATTGGAGGTTTATTTTAACATCAAGAGACCCTGAGAAGCAACATGAACTAAAACAACTCCTACACTGTGACCAGTGCTGTTATCAGTGTACCTCAGCTTACCAGGATGCAGCTAGTAGTGTACAGACTGCAGCAGAGCTACAAGTCCCCTGTCATCCTGCACACGTGTGAGATGAACCCAAGCCTATGCTGCTGCTGCTATCTTTAATGAAGTATGCCATGCATTTCTCAAGTCACAGCTCTGATCTCACACAAGACAGTTTAAGATAGGAAGTAGCTGCAGTGACCTTGTTCTAGATAAATGTACATGAGATGATCAGTTGTACTGTGCTGTAATACAATGGTTTTGGTGTTACATCACCCTGCAGACCTCCAGATTTAGACATGCATTTTGATGGGGTGGTTTTAAGGATGTTCTGCATAGTTCAGAGGTGTAGCTCATGGGTTTAGGAAGAGGGGTTTTGCATGTACCAGCCTGAGATCTCAGTCTTTGATACACATATATACAAAGAAAAAAAAAAAAAATCCTTCTCTAAATTCCTCTGGTTTTACAGCACTTATCTGTTAAAAGCATTAAGACTCAAATCATGGAGTTCTTAATTAACTGTTATCAAGAAATGGATGACCTGTCAGCGAAAACTGAAGCTGATGCTGTGTGTTCCTCAGCCCCCTCATTACATGCCGTTACAACTTCTGCATAAAAACTGAAGTGCTGCCATCAAAGCAGCTCACATTATGGCAATGGGTGAGGTGGGGAAAAATAACCACCATGGAGGTTTCTCGGTAAACCTGTAGAATAGTTTTGTTCTCTTCCATCTTCCCAAAAAGACGATTTTCAAGGACGTGGCAAAAGGTGAGAAAGGCCGTGTAGAAGGGAGCTCCCCCCAATTAAAAGGCCCCAACGCCCCCCCTGGTGGGCGAAATATGAAATATCACCGACATTCCCGATGGGATTTTTGGCCCTTTGTGGAAACCTTTGTTGCTCGTTTGGGCAATTCTGGTCTATATTGGAGTGCTTCCATACCAGCAGGTACAAATGTACACATGTGGATATGAAACACTTCCCTGGCATGTATCCCTACAAGCACTGAGACCTGCATGCCAAGCAAAAAAATCTGTATTTTTATATACCAGCATAGGATTTATTTCAACAACAAATCACCACCAGTTCATCAACATGCAAAAGATTCACTAAATCTACCCAGAGACTGAGCAAATATTTCAGATAATACAAGTTTTTGAATGCTGGCATGTGTTCCCTTCTCCCACTGCCTTCTATTTTTATTTGTTTTTAGCTAAAAGCCTTCTGAGGTTCCTTAGGGTTTGCCTATGTGACAAAAGGAACACCTGATAAATTATAAAGCTCCCTGTCCTGAAATAACACTCCCTTTTCATGAAGGAGTCCATCTAATACCTAAAGGGAGCCTACAAACAGGAAGGGAGTCAACTCTTTGAAAGGGTAGATAACAGCAGGACAAGGGGAAGTGGTTTTAAGTTGAGGGAGAGAAGATTGAGGTTGGATGTCAGGGGGAAGTTCTTTCCTATGAGAGTGGTGAGGTGCTGGAACAGCTGCCCAGAGAGGCTGTGATGCCCTGTCCATCCCTGGAGGTGTTCAAGGCCAGGTTGGATGGGGCCATGGGCAGCCTGGGCTGGTGTTAAATGTGGAGGTTGGTGGCCCTTCACGTGGTGGGGGAGTTGGAGCTTCATGATCCTTGAGGTCCCTTCCAACCCAGACTATTCTATGATTTTATGATTCTGCCAACTAAAATGACTGGAAGTTGCTTTCAGTATTCCTAAACTCTTGTTTTGTCTCTTGTTTCCCTAAATAGGATAAAATGGAAACACAATTGGAGATCTCTCAGTTGTTGCTTTTAGATACTCTGAAGATACAAATGCATACTATTTTCTCCTTCCCTTCCCTTCCCTTCCCTTCCCTTCCCTTCCCTTCCCTTCCCTTTCCCAAGCACTCAATCCTGCTGAGTGCCATCCACATTTCAGGAGGCAATCTTTGCCCTATTTGTTTGCCTGTAGAAATGTCTCACCCTAAGTACAAGCTGCCCAGATGGGAAAACGTGTTCTGAAACCACAGAACACAGACTTCATTCTGA